AGAATGTAGCATATTTCTTAAACCAATAGTCATGATACTATCCGCCTATGGCCGGAATTCAAATGTTTAAGAGCAAGGAGATAGTCTTTTCACTATTGCACCAAATAACTTAAGGAATTTCCTCTGCCTAGCCCACAGTCTTGGATTTGGTGGGCTTAGGGGTCTGAAACCTAAAAGAGAACTATTTCCACCAAAGAATTCACATTCTGTTGGAATTGGAATTCTGTTGAACAGGAAACCAAGGCACAAAGAAGAGAGTAAACATATGGCTATAGGTAATTGATTTCAATGCCAATGGGAAATTGAATTGTTGCTAACAATCAGGTCAGGGAGGACTGTATGTAGAATCTAGAAATTCACTGGCACACCCATGTAAGTACTCACACATCCAATGGCCCTGATGAGTGGGTAACTATCAAGGAATCAAATTCCGAGGATCATTCAGTAAAGAATCTCATACAGTGAAGTGCTGGCAGAAAGAAAGGGGAACATATAATACCTAATGGCACAAAGATGTTAGGATTCTAAACCTAAATTTCACAACCAACTACAGAAGCAGGGATTATAACACTTCTGTTTTGTATTAACTGTTTATCCCACATCCCCACTCCTGTTTTCCCTGACTTTATAGAAAGTATAGCAGTAATGATTAACATTTCATTTTTCAGATGAGAGTATATCTAAATTTAATTATCCTGTTATATGATAGCTAATTGAACCCTTGTGTCCTTACCTGTATGTTCAATTTTTATATGAACAAAGGACAAGAAAAGATGCTCAAAGGCAGAAGCTATAGATTGTTCTAATATTTTCTGTTTGAGCCTCCTGACATTCCATCCTGCTCTGAATTGTGGGTATCTGACCTACATGGACTGCTTTCTAGGTTACTGTTGAGTCCAACCAATAGGAGACACCAGGAGGCAATAAGATGGCTGGAAGAGAATAAAAGCAGGCTATTTTTGCCTTAGCTTTTTCCTAGATAGGCCACCTGCCTCCTTTTATTACAGGTGACAGGTGCCATAGGGTGGCTCCTTCTTTATAATTATTCTTTTGTGGGTCTAATAACTTTTCACTTACTCTGCCCTTTGGGCCTAGGAATAATAATGATTTCCCACTGTGATAAGCCCTGGGATACATCGTGCCTTATTGGCTTTCCTTAATCCCACTCAGATCTTTGGAAATAGATATTTTTAATTAAACTCCTTTCAGTTATCCTGTTACAGCATGCTAATTCCGGGCAAAGCCTGACTGATAGTACATCTTATTTGTGTGGATATTAAAATGATTATTAGAATATTTATAGTAGTACATGCCACTACTCTTTATTCCCTTAACTTATTGTATTATTCTTTTTCCCCCATCTAACTTATACATATTGATTAAGAGAATATACTCTGGAGCTAGATTAAAAACTGTTTGAATTCTAACTTTACCTCTTTCTAGCAGTTTGATTTTGAGTGAATTACTTGACTATATGGTAGGGTTATTGCAGTAATTGGGAGTTACTAAAAATGAAAACACTTAGAAAAATATCGTTGTGGTTTATGTCTAGATGTTTCCCCAAAGTCTTGTGCACTACAGATAGGACACTGGGAAGTACTGAATCTTTGGGGCATGTCATGTTGGGGGTGGGTCACTGGAGGCGTGGCCTGGAAGGGGCTATCTCCCTTTCCTGCTCCTTCCTCTTCTCCCTCAGCTTCCTGTCCACAATGCCATAAGTTGTCCTCCTCTGCCATGCCACCCCGCCTTGGAGCCAGCCAATCACAGATTGAAACTGCTACAAACTGTGAGCCAAACTAAACCTTTCCTCCTTTAAGTTGTTGGTGTCCAGTACTGTATCTCAACAATGAGAAAGTAACTAAGACATTAGTAATAGAAAATTCTAAGTGACTTTCCCATTGGAAATGTTTGCTAACACCTGATAAAATATGTTTTGCTTGTTTGTTATGTATAGTCTGCTCAAGTATAACTCTTTAAAGGTGAAGACTTGATTTCATTCACTGCCAAATCCCTGGTGTATAGAAGAGCACAGTTCAACAGAACTGTCTATGACCATGAAGATACTCTATCTGCACCACCTAACACAGCACTCATCAACCATAGGTACATATTAAATATTTGAAATGTGGTAGCACAACTGAGGGACTGATTTTTAAAATTTTATTTCATTTTAATTAATTTCAATGGCTATGTGTGACTAGTGCTACCACACTGTCAAGCATAGACATTGCCTGGCACATTATAATAGGTATCTAATAAATTTTTTGCTAAACAAATGAACAACTACCATCTGTTAAATATCTGCTAGATATTTTGCAGGGCATGGTGCTAAGTACTTTATACACATTTTCTGATGTGAGTCTTCCAAACAAATTATACAGGAAATCTCACTTTCCCAATTATTTAGATGAGAACAGTGAGACACAAAGAAGTTTGTCTTAGCCAGTATGTAGATTGTACAGAGACAGTCAGGACCCTTAGGTAGGGTTTGGGAGGTGGACCCTTTTAAGAAGTAAAAAGGAAGTAGTCTGTGCATCGCAACAAACCACTGAGCTGCCAGCCTGAGGTTTGACCCCTGCTTCTGTGTGGTTGACACTGACCCACCTACACTCCCCTTCATTCCCTATTCTCCCCTCAGAATTTCCCAGTTAGACCTAGCCCCCTACAAACAAGTTCAACAACCGATCGAGTAGTGCCCCCTGGAGGAGGTGGAGATGGCACCTGCCTGCCCCACAAAACAGAACCCCCCCACACTCAGTGATGACTCAGCTCTGGGTACCCCGACTCCTCCACAGTGGCTTTGTACGCTTTTTCTTGCAATAAATTACTGCTTTGCACTGGTCTTTTCTTCTGTCTCCTCTTCCTCGTTCTATGTCAGAGAGAGAGAGAGAAGTCCAACAAGTGTGAGTCGGGGACCCCTAGACCCGAGACCCACCAGACACAACCACTGGAACCAGTGCTGGCCACTGGCAGTGCCCTGAATTACTCAGGTTTGTCAGTCTTTTGATTTTAGAGCAACAGACTGCTAGTCTTTATTCCAGGTAATGGGAATATTTTGTGGACCTCTCTTCCTTTCCTGTGTCAGATCTCACACTACCTAACCTTGTATACACATTTTCCAACATTCCCAAGGATAAATTCCTTGAGTGCAAGATCCACATCTCATTTTCACCTCTAGAGCTGACACTGCCAGAGCAATTCTTCAGTAAACAGAGAATAAATGAATGCTCAGGTGGCTGGATGTCAGGAGCTTACTAGGCAGTATCTACTGTACTAACAAACACAAGCAATCCTACCAGCATTTCCAGCTTTAACGCTTTGCTTTGTGACTACTGAACAGACCTTTTAAAGCCCGTGTTGGCCATACCAAGTAGTAAAGCCTGTAGGGCTCTGCAGGTTGTGAGTCTGTCACAATTGACTCTGCAACTGTGTAACAGCACGACAATATGTAATGATAACCATGTTCCAGTACAATTTTATGATCATCGAAATTCAAATTTCACATAATTCTCACGTCTCAAAATACTGTCCTAATATATTAAATCCTGGCCTGGACAAGCAAACTGACCCAGAAGGAGAAGCAATGAAAAGGCAATAAAACTGGTGAAAATTCTGGCAAAGGGAAAGGGCAGCGCAGAAGGTAACTGACCACTACTTCTCTTTGACATGCACATTTTCATCTTTCCTTGTGCTCCCCCATCTTTTCTGTGTTCCCCAGGGGTTAAGGTAACCCCGCGTGCACATTCTCTCATATTCTCCCTGTTATCATTCTCAGGAAAATTTGGGTTTAAGCAGCACTTTTTTGGAAGACTGGAAAACATGGAGAACTGAAAGACATAGCTTTTTAATGAAGCGTTTACACGCGTAGAGAGCTATTTCAGTAATGTCAATCAAGCACCGTGCGCCCACCTGCCAGCTCCCCGGACTCGGGGGCGACCCCTGCGTTTCCTTCGCCGCCCATCAGCTGGCGCCTTTTGTCGTTGCCGTCGTCGTCCCCCCGCCCCCCCAGCCAGCTTTGGGGGCTCGCGGAGGCGCCGCAGCTCCGGGTCACATGGCCCGCCGGACAGGGAGAGGGGATTCCTGCGCGGGAGCTGCGCCGCGGGAGGAGTCTTCGGGCGCACCGGAGCCGCGCCGCGCCCCTGCGCCGC